CACCATGAACACCTGCATTCATTCACACATAACTCTGCTTCAGGTTGTATTTACTTGTGTTACTTCATTCAAGCTTTTTAACTTACTTCATTTTATTAGTTAAATGTATTCTTTGATTTATTTTAACATAAATTTCTGTTCTCAATATCCAGTTTATAGAACAAGCCCTTTTGCATTTGTATCATATCACAAACCATAATTGTTTTTGTCTACATTTATTTTTTATACATGCTGTTCTCGCAAAAAGCTGCAACCTTATCAGAGGTAGGACAACTTCGTTGAATAGTCTTTAATCATAGTGTTGATTGCTTGTGCAGATTTGTGTGTGTGTGTGTGTGTGTGTGTGTGCATGTGCGTGTGTGTGTTTAAGAGTTAAATCTCCAACTTCCCCCCACCCTGACAGAGCATTATAAGCTGGGTTAAGCCCCACTGCAAAGCTTTGTGGGTAATGAGAGCTGACAGGTATGCCAAACCCAACCTAATCAGGCCACTAGCAGGAGTGAGGGCTGTGCTGGTGCCTTTGAGGAGGACTTGAGGATAGTGTGAGATGTGTATCTCCTGTGAGGAAATTACCATGGCAGGTGTGGACCAAGGCCTTGGAAAAAGGACAAGAGCACAAAAACAGACCGAGATATTTAGCCCTGACTATTTACATCCACTTGCTTGCGAAATGTGAAAATGAAATATTGCCCTTTAAACAAAAGAAGAGTCTAGTCAATCTATCGAGTCTGACCCTCGTGTTTAGGAACATGCAGATCAACACTCTGTATCTCCACCATCGCTGGACAGATGGATGAGGGCCTCTGTAGTGGTATAAAGGGATCGCAGGTCACAGCTAATCAGTGAAGAAAGCGTGTGCCACTGCAACAGAAAACTTATCACGTCATGTTTATTCAAGGGCTTATATCCTAATTGTAATATAAACAACTGTGTTTCTAACAGCGTCATGCACAACTGTTGAGGGGAAAGACTCTAAATCATGATGATCATACATCAGTCTCTCAATATCAAGTTTAATTTTTGGACTTATAAATAAAGTGTTCTTATGTCTGTGTGTTTAGAGCTGCATGACTGAGTAACTGCAGCATCTTTGTTTTTGCTGTAAATCCAGTGTTTCCACAGCAGAGTGTCACATGTATTCTTTGCTTTGTATTCTGAAGCTTAGAGAAGGCAGACATTGACGAGGCTTCAGGTGTTATTCAGGCATCTTTCTTCTTCAGCTAATAATTGGAATTATAGATATGAAACTTTGAAAAAAGCGAAATAGAAGTTTTCTTTCAACATTATAAAGATTTGAACTTATAATTTTGTTTAGTCCTGCTTGCATTTTCATAGTTTTTGCCACAAACACGTAATTTAAAATTTCAGCTCTCAAATATCCCTTGATAGTGTGTTATAGTTTTTACTAAGTAGCTCTGCTGTCTCTCGTCATAGTTTTCCAGTCTGTCCATTGAGGACCAGGAGGACACTCAGTTCCCCTTTGCCATGAGGGACCTGCCTCCCGTCTCTCAGCCTGGCTATCAGCACCAGGAACCAGGTCACCAGATATCAATGAACCACGGGGCAGAGGGAACTGGTGCCACAACTAACGGGAGACGCCCCAGCCTTCCCGGGACCCCCATTCTGGCTCGTCCCATCCCCTGCCACCCTACCACCGAATCTCCAACAGCCCCTCAGAGACCACACCGTGCAGGAGTGGACTCAGGGTTTCAGCCCCTGTCGCTGAGGAAGCAGCTCGTCTCGCAGACATCTCTGGACTCTATAGGCAGCTCGGTCTCCCGTCCACACAGTCCATGGGGACGCTTTGACCCCTATGACTCTGCAGAGGTGTGTTCTGTGTGCTTTTACCTGAGTGTATCATGACAGTGTGTGCTATATTCTCTCAGTGTCTAAATTGACTGTCATGTTGTCTGCCTTGTGATCTAATAATTTTGACTCCGATTATTTTCTCTGGGTAAAGTTGGACAAAGCCTTTCAGTGATGGTAGTGTGCTATAGTGAGTTACAATAGACACACAAATATCTGAATACAAAATATTATTTTATAGGCAACTAAGTATTACTATGAATATAGTATAGAACTGCATTTGAAATATTGTTTTCCTGTAATTTACTTGAACTGAAAACAGTTGCAATAATATAATAATAATATAAAGTATTTACAATGACATTTTGAACAGATTATGTGATGATCGATTGAATCCTTTCCTGTCTTCAGGATCAGGACAAGGAGTATGTGGGATTTGCCACGTTGCCCAACCAGGTTCACAGAAAAACAGTGAAGAAAGGTTTCACGTTTACACTCATGGTGGCAGGTCAGTCCCTTCATGTGTGTCTGCTCACTGAGAGGCTCTCATAAGAGTGACTGAGGATGTTATCAAGACTGAATGTAGATTAGATTAAAGATCACTTCTCTGAATTCTACATTTGTCATGTTGCTGTTGTGTTTTCTGATTTGAAGTGTGAAAAAGTGCTTTTTATTTGTGTTCAAAGTTTTGTGTTGAAATAAATGACAAACACAGTTGGATGTGATGTTTTGAATCTGGGTTGAAGAGTCTCTCTCCCTCTGCAGGAGAGTCTGGCCTCGGTAAATCCACTCTAATCAACAGTTTGTTCCTCACTGATCTCTACAAAGACAGGAAGGTTCCTAATGCTGAAGGTGAGGTCACGTCACTGCACGCTTGCATATGAGACAGGTTCATGTTATCAGCTGTCAGAGATGCTGCCACAACTCATGTTGTACTTGTGTGCGTCTGCAGAACGAATCAGTCAAACGGTCGACATCATCAAACACACCGTCAGCATCGAGGAGAAAGGAATCAAACTGAGGCTCACCATCATAGACACGCCGGGGTTCGGAGACGCCGTCAACAACTCAGAAAGGTGAGGTCAGCATCTGTCTTCAGGTTAAAACTGACGTGAGCCACTCCTGCTTTATTGAACTGGTTCCAGGGCATCACAAGCATGGTAAATATGCTTTTATTTTGAAATTGCTTATGTCAGATGTCAGCCAGGAGAGTTTTAAGGGATTTGGGATCATTATGTTGGTGGAATGAGTCTTCGTTAAGGCTCATTTATGCTCAACGTTAGACACAGATATGGACAAAGCCGTCTCTGTTCTTGTTTCATTGGTAAGAAACGACGATATGATGTCTCTTCGCGCAGTCACAGGAACAAACAACTGCTTTTGTCTCTTTCATAAGAGGAATAATATCACAACCTCCTCCACCAGCGATTGTTGTCAGAAACTTGGGTAATGGGTCAGGGTTTGTGAAGGCAGCATAAATGAGCCTTCATGGAGTTTCTGCCCATGCTGCTCGCTCAGTCTCCTGCTTGAAGCTGATCACAGAATTTAAGGGGGTTCTCAAAAGATTTTCATTGCTGTGAACTAATGCAATCACCTGTTCTCAGGGGCCCCTCTCAACTCAGGGCCCAGAGCAAGAACCTCTTTTGCCTTCCCTTGGTCCATGGTTGCTGTTTCACTCACTCAGAGTTTATGTGTTTGCATCAGCTGGAAGCAAATAGAGGACTACATCGGCGAGCAGTTTGAAAAGTACTTCAGAGATGAGAGTGGCTTGAACAGAAGAAACATCCAGGACAACAGAGTTCACTGCTGCCTCTACTTCATCTCTCCATTTGGCCACGGGTACACTGACGTTCTGGTGTTTGACTTGTGCACATGTGGCTTAAATAGTAATTGTTCTTCTGGGCGTATGTTTGTATCTATACACTTATGTGTTTTCCTCCTGTCAGTCTTCGACCTCTGGATGTTGAGTGCATGAAAGCCATCCATGAAAAAGTCAACATAATTCCAGTGTTGGCCAAAGCTGACAGTCTGACACAAGCAGAGGTCTTCAGGAAGAAGATGAAGGTACAAGATCTCACGTTGTCTTTTGTATTAATAACATAAAACATAATCGCTCTAAAACCTTTTTGTCAATGTGTCCACGGACTCAAGATCCGAGAGGAGATCAAGCAGTTTGGCATCAACATCTACCAGTTTCCAGAGTGTGATTCAGACGAGGACGAAGACTTTAAGACCCACGACCAGATCCTCAAGGTTCTTCGGTTCATTTCTCACGTTATGAATGAGATGTTCGATCCACGTAGAGACTGACAGCTCATTGGTTCTCCTTCTCTCTGCAGGACAGCATCCCGTTTGCAGTGATCGGGAGCAACGTTCAAGTGGAGAGTAAAGGTCGCAGATTCAGGGGTCGTCTCTATCCCTGGGGGGTGGTCGAAGGTAAAACTCACAAACATACACTCAGTCAGTTTTAGGCCTGGGAGCCAGTGACAGCCATAACATCATAGAGGCATTATGTTTTCAGGTTGTCCACGTTTTTATTTTGTGAACCCAATATCTCAAGAACCCTTTGAGGGAATTTTCTTTAAATTTGGTAGAAATCTTCACTTGGACTTAATGTTTAACTAATTCAATGTTGGTGCTCAAAGGACACAATGTCCTCATGTTTTTGTGAATGTGAATTTAGCCCCTTCAAATCAGTTGTACTCATTGCTGTTGTCCTGTCCAATGTCAGTGGAAAACCCGGCTCACTCTGACTTCCTGTTGCTGAGGAACATGCTGGTGAGGACGCACATGCAGGACCTGAAGGACGTGACGCGGGAGACGCACTACGAGAACTACCGAGCGCAGTGCATCCAGAACATGACGCGCATGGTGGTGCAGGAGAGGAAACGCAGGTGGGTGGAGGCAGGACATAGACACGGCCACTGTCTGAGACACTGAGCATCCAGTACCTCATTGTTTGCCTTTTAAAATGTAGCTTAAACATACAAAACATGTTTATGCAGATTCTGTTCTTCTTCTTTGTGGATGTTTCAGTTTGCGTGAGAAGTATCAAGAAGGCAGCGAGGACAATTTCCCTCTGCCGCTCGCCGTCGTTGACAGTGAGAAGGAAAGACTCATCTTTGAGAAAGACGAAGAGGTACATTTGTTTTTTACTCACTAATTCACTCACTCACTGACAAATGTGATCGGCCCTGATCTATATCTTGGTCTCTGTAGCTGAGGAGGATGCAGGAGGTGCTGGAGAGGATTCAGGAGCAGATGCACCACAGTCACCCACAATTCCCTGGGAGAGGAGACGGACAAGCAGCGAATAGGAAGACAGAGACAGCCCCTGTTTATAGAATGTGATGTCAGAACAGGAAACGAGCCACATGACTTTCACAGCCTTGTCTGATTACTGTTCTCCAGGACAATGACTGTGCATGAATGGGGAGGTTTTCCCCAGGGGGTCTTATGCTCCTGCTTTTGAAAATGAAACTAAAATCTCTTAAAAAAACAGCTTCGAATTGAAAGTGACTTCTGCAAAATCTTTTAATACGTTTTAGTGTTCTAATGACAGATTCCCATTTTAACATGAAAGCATGAGAAATAGCTTCATTTGTCTGATTTTCTAGTTGAGTTGGTTTGTTTATAAGCAAGATTTCCCCCCAAACTACAGATAACTACTGATTATCACAGACATTTGAGGAAGGATGTGATGTGGATCAGGGAAGAACCCATCAAACTTTGGTGTAGACTCAGATCAGGGGGCAAATCCAGAAATTATCTTTTTTTTCTTTATTCAACATAGCAAGAGGCATTTTTTAAATTTTCTCACCAATGTCCCAGGCATCGATTCATGGAAATGTGATGTGAAATCAGCCATATTTTTGGAACTGATTTGTGTTTGAAATTTGGTGCAGCTAGATTGGATTTAAGGAAACTGTTGGGCCTTGGTGGCCATTCTGTTTTTTTAATGTTATAGCACAGCTTATCACTCAGTATGTTTGATAATTGTGTAGCACTGCCATCTAGTGGTCATTGTGGTGATATTGGGTTTGTAACATTTAAACTGCATTTTTAAAGTTTTTGATACTTGTGAGTGTTTTTTTATGTCTTTAATTTTTCTGTTTTGTAAGGACGTTTTGTCTGTTTATATTGTACACGTGACCATTAAACACAGGAGCAAGATGTGTTGTAAATGTAATAAGATTTATTAAGAATCTTTATTATTTCATCAGCATAATTCTTCATTAATAATATGTTTTATCCATTATCATCATTGTTATCTTAAACAGTGGACAGATAGATCTAAAAGGCAGCCCAAAGTGTACAGGCGATATATAACTTAAAACTTTCTCCATAGGGAAAACATGTTTTTATATTCATATATAATATCAATGTAGCATGAGGTCCAAGATCCTGCCCACGTTATACAGTATTGTACATGGTCCCGAAAATAAACATGAAAACAAAACCTTTAAACAAAAAGAACCTAAACAGCAATCTACATGCAAAAAAACAAAGAAACAAGCATTTAAAATTTTAAGATACATACACTCATATGCCAAAACGTGCATACCATCACAAATTTACAAAACGTTCATACATACATACAAATATTACAAAACTCAAATTGAATATTAGACACCAGTATGTTGTCAAGAAAAAGAGCAACAACTTTTTTTGTCATTTTCTTTTTTCACTCCCGCAACTCAGTTCAACTCACAAGATGGAAAACTTAAAAAACAAACCAACAGAAAAAAATCAAACAAACATGTATGACAGTAAATCTTTGTCTCTTCCATTCGCTCAGTGCGTACGTGTTTCGCCAGAGTTGTCACAGTGTTCAGGAAAACTGAGTATAGGCACACACCATAGCACCCAGACGGGCTCATACCATAAATCACCTCTGTGTACAAAAATAACTTGCTTGCTACACACACACACGCACACACTCTTTCATGCACAGGGCAAACTGTATAACCAAAGAAACAGAGCCATGCTACAGGTACAATAGGATTAACTATAGTACAGAATATAAAACATTGAATACACTCACAGGTACAGACGCAACATTGAGAAACAGCAGAAGAGGCAAAGAGCAGATCCGCACGACGCTGACTACATCCACACATGATGGGAGATTTGATGATTTGACAGGTGTAGGCTGAGAAGAAGGCGGTGGAGCCACGAGCTGTTTGAGTGTGCACTTGAACACACACACACACCCGCACACATTTTCTATCTTGAAATATAGAAACTGATTTCCTGGACTGGAGCAGAGGATTCAACTTGATGTCCGTTTATAAAACATTGAAGTGGAAAAAATGCAAACTGATTTTCAACTTTTGTGCTGTATCCAAACTTTCCAAGAGCTGTTAGCTTCACAAAGATCTTTTCTGGGCTTTCTCTCTCAGTCTCCTCTGCAGTTTGTCATGTGACCAGAGTTCTGTACTGTATTTAACGTAACACAGTCAGGATAATATCGACTGTTTTAATGGACAAGAGTTGTTTTGTCCAGGTTGTGCAGAAGTTTGTGTTGTGTGTGTGACTTCAGAATGAGGTCCAGGGGGAGGCAGCAGAGGGAGCTGTTGCATTAGAGAGATTAGAGGATGGAAACCCGTATTGCCCTGCTGTGTGTTAGAGGAACATCATGAGGAAACCTGACACTGAATGTTTTGAGAGCAGTAACATGGTTGTGTGAACCGTCTTCATTTTCCTGGGCTGGTTCTGTCTTCCATCACCATTCCACACATTTCTGGTAACCCTGATGAGTTGAGAACTTTCCATGTTAAATCTGTTAACAGCCTTTTGTTTGGTTTGGAACAGGCCTGATTAAATCAATCACACAGTAAAATATGTCCAAGAGACTTTAACATTCTCGCTTTTCTTTCAAAAGCCTGTAGAAAACATCTGATGAATAATTCTGACCAACTTTTCACTGTGACACAAGAAGCACAGTGCAGCATCATTACACATTTGACTGGCTGTAGAAATTACTTGGTCACCACTGTCACTCAAAATTGACTTGGTCTCGAGCTGAGAAATCGTAGCCGTAATTCTTCCTCTTTCAACCTGCGGCTCATCAGTGGGGGAAACTCCATTTGTTTTCAGACTCACCATCCAAAAAGAAAGAAACAGGTCATGGATAAATACAAAATCCACTCACGTCACCAGAAGCTCAAAGCAGGGCTGAAATCACACACAAAGACCAGGTTGTGTATTTTTTAACTGCAGAAGGGTTCAAATTTCATTAAAGCATCACCACCCGCTGTTCTATTTCTGTAACTATTGTCAAGGTGAAGCTGTGAAGAACCTTTATTCAGAGGAAACTGGAGACGATCAACCTCGTGAAGCAAGTTTTGTTCTAAGATGGAAGGCAGAAGTAAATTTAAACAATGTAAAGCTACACTATGTAACTTTTACTTGCAACAGCGCCACCTGCAGCCACACATGGGGATTCTTTCTGTTGGGTGATTAGAAGGTTACCATGTAGAGAAAACTCTAAACCAGAGCTCGACTCACTGACCTGAAACACAACTCAACGGTGGATATTACCCACGTTCCTCAGCTTCCTGCACCAGAACAGTTGCAGCTGTAACAAATCCACCAAACTTAGTTGATATTTCTTCATATTCTAAAAGTTTTCTGCTGAATATTGGAGATAAAACTTATTAAAAACTCTGTTTTTTTAACAACTTCTTAGTCTTTTTAACTGATCTACAGTTCAGCTTTACTCTTCAACTTGCTGCACCTGATTCTGACAATTGAATCTCTGAGTATCAGTCAGTTCCACACTCCTCAGAAGAGATCGTACTCACTCACCAAAGTTACGCAGAACAAGCCCAGTCGTTCAGGGGGAGGGGTGGGAATGAAAGAGGAAACATTCTCTCTTTTCCAAGTCAGCGAACCATGAAACTCATTTTAATGACGCTGTTATTTTAAGTCAAAAGGTTGCTTAGTGTCGCTTTAACTTTGTGTGTGATGTGGTCAACTTCTGTGTCCAATTTATTAGCGAGACCACAGAGCTGCTCTCAAACCTGTCAGTGACATTATTCCGCAAAGATGTCCCACATGACATTGAGATCACATGAATACAAAATGGGCACAGACTGTATCACCATGACAACAGCCAAAACAACAAACTACTCTCTCGCAGGCGTGCGCTGTCCCTCGAAAGGTGAATGAAGAGTTTAAGGTAAATCTTTGATGCCTGAGTGTGAACTGAGCTTATCGTGTTAGTGCTTCTTGTTGTAAAGGAAGGAAAGGAGGGAAGGAAGTAGAGAAGAAGGCAGAGGAAGGAAGGAAGGGAAAACAAGAGTTCCTGTCTTTGCAGCGGAGACAAATGGCCGGACCCCCTGTCTCTGCTTTAATCTTATTGTTCACAAACTAACAGGGCTGCGACCAAATATCTCTGGAGATATCTGTCACAAGTTTGTCCAAAAAACAGCTGATGATGTTTTGGTAAATGTTCACGTCTGTCAGAGACTCTCGTTATTGATTATTGATTGGAGTGTGACAACTTATCCAGATGTTCTGGATCTTCTCTCCTTCTGTCCGGCCCATCTGTTTAAACCTTTCAGGACAGTTTGAGAGTGCTTACAGGAAAGTGGGGACCGTAACCATGACAGGGTTGAGGACGGTGGTCTGTCCAACCAGCTGGGTGTGGGGGGCCAGCACCGCTGTGGGTTTCCCTAACGTGCTCCCCTGGCTCACCATTGTGGCGCTGTTTACCTGGGCTCCGTTAGTGTTAGCTAGAGGATTAGCCTGGACATGCGGCAGAGTGTGATGGGTGAAGGTGTGAGTGATGTGGCCCACCATGGTGGGCTGGGAGACAGATACACCCTGGGGGTATAGAGTTGGGAGGTGGGATGGCAGTGGAGCTCCCAGGTGAGCCACCGGGTGGACGGTGATATGTCCGATGGGCTGGGCGGTTATTTGTTGGTGTGTGGTGGTGCCAGCTGGAGCTGCTGTTAACGGCTGCGGTGTAGAGGCGGTGGGGCCGGGTGATGGGGCAATGTGTGTGAGGTGCTTGTGATTGGCTGGCAGTGTGTGATTGACAGCTTGGATGACTGAAGGATGGGAGACGGCGGCATGAGCGATGACGGTGGGCTGGACCTGCACAACCGGGGGCTGAATGGGATGAGCAGGTGGCAGAGGGGGCGGACCTGGGGCCGGAGCAGGGGCGATGGCTTGAGGAGGAGGGGGACCTGAGGGGGAGGGCGTGGTCAAGACTCCAGACAAAGGCAGGGCGGTGTGCTGGATTGACAGGCGAGGGGTGAGGAGCGACTGGGCTTGTAGGATGGGAGGTGCTGGAGCAGGAGGAGCGGGGACATCCTCGTCCATGTCTTGCTCAAAGTTGTCCTCTCCTTCTGTAAA